GAGGAATGCAACAAGATCATCGGAATCGATTCGAAGGTGAGTAAATAGACAGTTATTGTTCATGTTAAGGTTTTTATGGATATCCTAATGTTTAAGTGCAAAATACACTGTTTTCGTCATATTTGAAGTCGTCATTGAAAAAATAAATGTATCCAAAAATAATACCTAGCATATGAAGGTTCAAGACCGGTCGCTCCAACCAATTTTTAATTTATCAGCCTGTTCAAATTTTTAACAAATTTTAAAAGTAATTCGTGGAACCGAACATTACTCTTTTAAATGCCGTTAAGTTTGCTCATATATTTGTTTTGTCGTGTTATCACATTTTGAAATTTTCGTGTTTTCTCAAATATTGTTTTTGTCGAGTTTCTTGTCTAGTTTCCTTCAGAGGTAGCCATGGGTAATAGCGCAATTTTTTTGGCCACCTGTGGTGTCAGCGCACGAACTCAGCGCAAAAGCGCAGTGTACTGAATTTAACACGGCGCCATCTGAGTGTCACCACAGTACCCATTGTCGTACAGTGTAGTACACCATACAGTGGTGTCATGTCTATTATTTCTATAATTTTCGGCGTTGAGAAACGCTTGTACCACCAACCGAATTTAATCGCTAGAAATGTAGTAAATGCCACGATATTCTCATCATTATTGAGTAAAAGCTTTAAATTTGCGTTCTCAACACTCAAAAGCAAAAAAAAGTACGTGTAAATTTTCAAAGAGTTGCTTGGTGTTAATTGCGCTGGCGCTTTCCATATACTAGTGTTGGCGCGGCAACACCGGCTACGGTGCTAACGCAATTGCGCCGCGCAGCGCAGTGTTACCCATGCCTATTCAGAGGCTTTAAAGGTATATAGTGGATGTGCTATTTCTAAGGCCACACTGAGCCCATGCTGTTCGTTCGTCGCGTCGCTACGGCTCAGCTGAATCGCAGAAACGACAGAGATCGGTCGATCAGATTCCCAGCTTGTACAGATGTCCTCTTAATCTGCAGTGGCCAGTGGGGATGCCTGTAACTCCTCTAAGTTTGTGCTTGGGCAGGTCATTAAAAAGTTAATATCTTTTTAGATTATACCCCGCAGTAAGCTTTTGGCCTGGCGAAGCCCTGTTGTACTATGCCTGTGTTGTTCCCTCCTACCTAGGAGTTCCTTTTCTAAGCTCTTCCGTAATAGTGTTTGGGCCTATTGCAGGGAATGGCTCGGGACCTGCCGGGACAAAGTCGCCGCTGTTCTGGCTAAGCCGTCCGCTATCTCGTTCCCTCGTATACCCTTGTGACCTGGCACCCACAGTAGCTGGATATTATTGAATTCCGCAAGGGTATTAAGGTTAACAATGCACTCAAGCCTGATTTTATCTCAAAGGATGAAAATGCATTAAGTGCTGCCTGGTTGTCGCTAAGGATTAGGATTCCTTTGTCGAAGTAGCCTCTAAGTAAGTTGGAAAATGCACCGAGCATAGATACTATATTACATGAAAGCTACTATTTTTCAAGTCGATTTCCAAAGAAACCACACGGGAGTGGTGTGAGCGAGACAATTGCCACAAAATGGCCAAATTGTCAAGATTTTCAGCTACCCTTAGAAATAATCCTAAATAATAATGGCACAGTAAAAATTTAAATTGATTCTAGCAACACACCGGCACGCCTACTGCTATTATTTTCTTTATTTGGCTTTGCATGCCATAGCTATTCAATTACTACTTCTAAGGAAAGGGTCTTATTGAAAATTACCTGCCTGAATTCGATGGCTGAGTGGACGATCGACCTATCTTGGCAGCCAGTTCAAGACGCCCTATTCAGAAAACTTTTCAAGAATGCCCTAAAACAGAATTTGATTGAAAAACTCACTATCTCACAATTTGGTTGATTAACGCCCTATTTCAGAATGCGGTTCGAAAACGCAATACCTCAAACGAAAATGCCTTAAAAATAAGCTGAGATAGCGCGTTTTTCAATCGGCAGCTTAGACAGGGTGTTCTTCAATAAAATTTGAAAAAAGGGCGTTCCTGAAAAGTTTTCTGACACAGGACATTTTCGAACTGGCTGCCGAGATAGGCCGATCTTCCACTCAGCTATCGAAATGCTTTATGCAGAAAATTCGAAATGCTTTATGCAGAGAATTTAGGGACGATTTGCGATTATAATCTGTATGTTAGATAGAATTTATCATGTTACTGACAATCAATTTTACACACACAAACTTGGGGGAGATACTAGTTTTTGTCTGTGACGTCAGGATTTTTTAAAGGGACTTTGAAAAATATGATTATGTAGTTCAAAAAATTATAAAAAAAAATTCGGTGAAATGTTGAATATCAATATGGGTATCAAATAAAAGAGAAAATTTTGTGGAACTGAAAAGCATTTTATTTTTTGGTGCACAAGAAATATTGATAATGTCCTTTTAAAAAAAATTGTGTATTAAGAACTAATATATACATTAACTCGGCTTCGAAATCCGTCTCCTACTTTATTAGTTCAGGGTAAAAAAAAATATACTTAGAAGCTCATTTTCAATTTCTGTTCGCCTTTGCGAACCAAACAAAAAAAATATAATAAAAATAATTATTTTAAGTTCTACAGAATTTTCTAAATAATTTTTTGAATTAATCATATCTTTAAAATTTCAAACACCTTCTAAAAGATATCCTGAAATCAGAGAGAAAAACAAAAACGCCGCTTTGATATATTTGGCCACTAGTTTCGTGAATATATTAATTGTTTCGTGTCCCTTGAAATTTTTTCGTTTTTATCGCGCGCTGTTACCTTCAAAAACATTTATTTATTGTATTAATTTTTTCTAAGAAATATTTGTTTGCACTAAGAGCATTTTCTAAACCACTTTTCGCTTTCTATTATTCTCCAGGATCTTTCCTACAAAGACAAGCATTGGCACGAAGCCTGCTTCCTATGTTTCAAGTGCCATTTGTCGTTGGTGGATAAGCAATTCGGCGCCAAAGCCGATAAAATCTATTGCGGCACTTGTTATGATGCACAATTTGCATCGCGCTGTGATGGCTGTGGTGAGGTGTTCCGAGCAGGTGAGTTTCAAAATTTACTTCCCAAAACTACATACATACATACATAACATTTATGCAATTACTAAAGTTTAAATAAATTAAAAATATACAAAAACGTTGCATACTTTTCGGCGTTATAAGAGCACGAAGCGCATTTACAAGTGGTTTGTGAAGCGCTGTAATTTACATAAACAATACAAATTTTTTTTTATAAGTAATAAAGTATACCTAGAGGCATATCTGTATGTTTATTAAGAAATATTTAGTTTGCAAACGAGAAAGACAAGTTACCCCACTAGAAGCCTAAGCTAGTTTAATTTACAAACATGCATATATACATACATTGCACTTTTGCACCACTTTCTTAACTCTGAAGATGAATACTGGTCACATTTCAGCTCGCCTGTTGTTGGCATATTGAATTTTATTCAACTGCTCAGGCAATTAATTACTGGCCAGCAATCAGGCACCAAAAACGCCATAAAAGTCGCAAGTTGCACAGTTGTTGCATGCATTCATTGATTGCAGCAACAACTTGAATGCTCAGCATTTTCAGTGTCTCTGTTTTGCTCCACAAACATAAATTGCTGTGAATCTATTTTTGTCGCCTAGTCAGTTGACTGCCGCTATCAAGCCAATTGACTAACTGGTCCACCAACTCCCAAATGGGAGCCACTAACTATAAATGTTTATACACATAGTAGGTATGCACGTATGTAGATATGTGAGCACGCGCTATACGTGGTCAGCTGCGCTTATTTTGTAACTAAGAACCACACTGCGCATGCGCACCAGTTTGAATTTTGATAAGCGTGACGTTATATGTACATAACTATGTACTTATTTATTCACATATTTCAATGCCATATAAACATGCATATACGTATATGTATGTAAATGTGTACATATTTTGATATTTGCCACTAGCCAAATGAAGCGTATAAAGACGATTTTTTCTACTGCTTTTGCCTTCTGGTATGCCAACCGGCTCGATAGCTGGTCTCCATGCTCATTTGATGTCGTCGTGTGCTTGCAATTATCTTACACCTCTTTCGCGCAGCTGAAGTTCCAATTCTTAACTTTCCATGTTTTCTTCGCAAGCCTATGTATGTATGTATGTATATGTATATCTTTAGCACATTGGTTTTCCACTTTTCATTCGTTAAGCCTGTTTAAGATAAATATATGTAGATACAAAAATTCGATATGTGTGCTAATCTGCTTTGGGGTGGAACTCCAATTGACTTGCCAGAAAAAATTCGCTAAAGTACATTCACTTAGACATGCATATTATGTACATACGTTAAAGCGCCACAAGCAGATGTTGCATGTCACTACGAACTTACTTGTAAGTAATTAAGATTGTATATCAACGCCATTGCACAGTGGTTCAAAACTGGAATTTAAGGTTGATAATTCACTGGGGCCTTCGTTTTTCACTCAATCTGATAATTTTTTGTTTAACGAAATCTTATAAAATTAGCAAGAGACCGAGTTGAGCCCAATTTTTCGATTTTTATTTGGTTATATTAAATTTGTTGGTGCAAAGTGCAGAGAAAACAGCAATTTTGAAGCAAATCGATTCTCCTGCTCTAGTTAATAAATTTTACATATTAAAAACTAGTTGAAAGCAATTGTAGAGTTGCCAAAAACTAAAATAAAATTACAAGAAAAGTTAATACATTATGAAAATACACTCACTTACCAAATTTCTGTCGGATATCTCGAAAACGACGGACAGACGGACTTGGCTAAATCGCTCAACGCTCTGATCGTATAAGTGTACATTTATAATACCATTTCATGCTCATGAAAGGTCCAGTGAATTATGAACAGTTAATGCCACTTTTGAACCACTGTGCCTTGGTATGTTCATACATACATACATACATATGTACTTACATGAATTTGCCACTTAAGCCATAGCTATGTGTTGAGCTGCGATTAAGATGTGCTCTATTGATAGAAATGAGTAAACGGCTTCGATTGCATTTGGATGAAGACTTACAAGCGTTTTAATAACAACAATAAAGGTACACTTTCATCCGAAGATTGACGAGTTTGAATTGCGTGTAATAATTAAATTAATCACATTCCATTTACGTGAATTCTTTTTTTTCGCTCTGGTTTAAGAAGAAATATCAACTAAATAGCTACATTAAACACACAAATGCTAAATAACTAGCTAGAATACTTTTCTGATGTTTATAAGATACAGTATTTTTTGTACAATATCGATTTTTAACTGGCTTTTGGTCATAGAGAATTAGGCGGTCTTACAGAACCCATTTTTATATAAGTATGTACGCCTGCCAAGGAATAGGCACTCCTAGGACAGTGCTAGCTGCAGAGGAGCTGTTTTACTGCTTCTCCGGCATCCGAACAGTAACAGTTGAGTCCACAGTTGTTGTGGATTTAGTCCCGCATGCTACCCCCGTAAGTCCCCATGGTCCAGATCCTTGCGTTAACAGCAGTGAGTATAGACAAATAACTTCTCTCCACTTTTGTTACAATCGTGGCATATTTTAAGCATTGGGTAGCTAGCCCTCCTGTATTAAATTTCCTTCTCCCTTCGACTATACATTTTTAGCATGTGCTGAGAAACTCAGCCCTTTTGAACTAAATAACTCGTCAGCGTTTTCCCTCCAGGTTAGCTAAGGGACGTTACGAATAATAATCACAAAAGCATTGAATCATATACGCTTCTATATCTTAGCTATTCTCGTGCTTTAGAAGTAATATTTTACATTTTTGCTCCGATGTGCTATTTAATGGATCACTTTCCGATGGATAGGCAAAAGATAGCTCTTGTCTGGATCCGTTAGGTTAATAGACAACATTTTTACTACCTTTGGATACATTAAGCCTCTACCAGCTGACAGCTTGCACTATTTTGCAAAGCATAACGTCGGTGATCCTGCAAAACGGTCTATGTCTGTTAGTACCCTTGACACTTAGATGGTATCTTACTTGCACCGGAATGCATTTGCAAATCATTACACCCTAATATACGAATAACAAAACTGCTTACCATTGGCTGATGAAGATGAACGATTGCCAGAAGCGATCAGATACAGATAACAGATCAATTAAGCACCAGAGGTAATAAGTGACATAGAACGTTTTGCAGTATCACCGAAGATAAGGAAACAAATACGAAAATGATTCAAAATAAAATATATAAATTGATAAACACGTGGTTACAGGTATCACTAACGATAGTAATACGGACAACTAAACGATACCGATTTTTCCAAGCACTTGGTAATTTTTTCCTAAAATAAATATGTTGCATTTTATGCTTTTATTGTGCAGCTTTGGAACAGCTCTATTATGTAGTCAGTTTCTTTTTTGAAACCTATTTCAATGCCCTGATATTTTTCATTTAATCGAAAACTTATTTTCATGAAAAAGCTATAAGCTTTAAGGCGGAAATTATTATTTTTAAGTTCCCTCATAGTTTTTCTCTAAAATTAATGCATTTACATACATTATACTTCCTTCTTAAGTGGTAACCTACATTCAAATGCTAGCATGAATGTATGCATGTGCATACAAACACTCCAAAAACATATTCAAGTCAGTTAAAGTCAAACTTTCACTTTTAAATATTCAAATATATGTACAGTTATCTAAGTATGTAAATATGTATGGGCATATGCTGGCTGCATATTTTTCAAGCAGTTTCGAATTTCCGCGTGGACAACAGATACCCACAATAATATTGCATTTGTAAATATGTTTATTAAATATAGCATAATTACATAATGGCATAAAAGGAGGTACATGTATGTACATTAGAGTAGTCCAGAAAAAATTTTCCCCGAGATAGAGTTTGGGGCACCTTCCAAAATTTTTCCTCTTGCCAAAAGAGGTGCAGGCACCAAACTTCACGTTTCTAGGTATACATTTAGAGGATGCTCAGGAAATATTTATATTACTCTAGAAGTATTTTGCACATATATTAACCTAAGATCATTTCAAATTCAAATTAGCTAACAAATATAACAAGCTTCAGTTTTCATGACAACAGGATCCAGTAACGCATTTCAAAGGTAGAAAATTGAAAGTTGGTATAGATATTACAAATATCAAAAGCAAAAAACTAAGAAGGTGCCCCGTTTTCTATGATTACATTTTTTTCCCCCAATATAAAACTTGGACCACTCTAATGTACATAGGACATTGGAAGCTTTAATGAAAATAATATCGTCGCCATCATTACTAAAAGCCCTTGGTGAGGAAAACTACATTTTTAGGAAAAATTTCAATTTTACGGAATTGCAAAGGTCTTTTAGACCTTTCGCCAGAAGTTTGGTTTAATCTCACATTAGACCATGTCAGAAGTCGCAGTGTATATAGTCCCATAAAAATAATATAATAATAATAATAATGATAAATCATATGAACATAAGATCGGGTCGATCCCTATACGAAAGAAAAAAAATTATAATTATTCACTTAGTTAAAACGATTTCTTCATTAGGATTTTCAGTCATAAGAACCACTAAAAACCGTTTTCTTAATAACCATTTTATTTATGGGACGATTTCCAAAGCTTGTTTTTACTTTTAATTTTTTTCTGAAGTATTTTTACAATTCATGTTTGTCGAACGTTTGGCCCTTACATTACATTTTTCGTCATATCTTCGCCATTTACAGTGGATGTTAACGTAAGATACATCGATGTTTTGGTCTTAAGAAGGCATTTTTTTGTTCCAATGCTCATTGACCTCAAATACTCCGTTCTAGTACTTACCCACTAGATCTCGGTACCTACCACCCTAATGTCAGTAAATTAAAGCTCTCTAAAATTCATTAAACTTTTCCTAAGGAGGGCTTTTAATTATTTCAGTAGAACTATTTAAAAAAGTGCTTACAGCCGAATGTAGGTGTCACCAACAAAATTAAAAAAAATCGAAGTTGCCTTATAAAAATACCTTAGATTCAGGGGTGTATGGCGAAATTTTTCCTGGAGAGATTTTTCAATTATTAAAATTTTTAATTTAAGGTAAATAAAA